ATAGCCAGTTCACATGCTACGTTACGTTGAAACTTTTTGGAAAAAGTGGTCGGTTCGGACGTGGTAACGGTACGTTACCGGTAAAGTGGACGAAAAGTCTAAAGTGACCAGGGGGGGGGTTCAATTTCGTCAAACGCTGACCCCTCGTACCGTTACTTGAAATGCGTCGCCAATTTCGCGAGTTATAACAAACGGCCAAGCCCAATCGCTTATAAAGACCACATACTTGACAAATTGTGCGCGCTTTGCACTCCGACTGAATTTCTAGTCACACCGCTGCCTTATATTATAAAAATGAACAAGGACAACGCCGCTCGTGTTGCTCGACCGCTCACGACCGCTTACATAGCCAATATGTAACCCATTGTAGTATCAGGGCTGAAGCCACCCGCGAAACGGCAAGTCGGCCGCACTTCCGGCGGCATGGGCCGCGCCGCGTCGGCCCACACGCTCAATCTCTGCCACTGAGCATTGAACATATCTTCAAGATTATCAAAAATTTCATCCAGCGCGACCGCTAGGGCAAACGCCATCGCGGCTCGCGCGGGATGCAGTGCCATTGCAGTAGGCAGGGCTGCCAATCACCCTTCAAATATATATTGCAATTCTAAGGGGATCTTCTGAAGTTTTGGCCATTGAAAGACATAAAATGGAGATGGTTTTACACAGCTCGCGCCAACGAATACAACGTCGTCGTAATGTCCCGTGTGAACTGGGTGACTTTCTCAGGGCCACTTTTACCTAAAAGTTTTCGCAACGTAACGTAGCATGTGAATCCAGTATTACAAAGCGCCGTCAAATGGCCTTTAAAAGTCATTTGTACGATCTGGATCCCATTTAGGTAAATGTTAATAAATCACGGGAGCACTTCATACGCTTCTTATTCTGCAACATTTAACAAACGACGTTATCAGTTTGACTTAACTTTACGTGTCCTCTGACTGACGCTCCCTGAGAATGTGCCAAATCAAGTTCGACTTTAACTGCAAGGCCGGCTTTGGGATCAAGTATAACAGCATTCTTTTCACTCTACTTACTCTCGCCGTTGCGGCGTCGACCGTCTTTTTGGGAGGTCTGGCCTCTCTGCAAAACGAGTGCCACGACGACGGGGTCTATGCGGGAAACACCAACCTCCTTACGGGTGTCACGGGCTTCAGCGCAACCACCCTGACCTGCAAGAAGATTTATCGCTGTGAGTGTAGCAGTTCAGCGCTATTGGCGTGGACCGAAGTTTCGGTGTCTTTGACCGGGACTGCCAACGCATCACTGTCTGCTTTAACGTCTTCCCTGTATCTAATGGACAACTACAAGTCTATATTGTATCCTATATGCAAACGTGTTCTCTTTTTCCATTGCAGTCTACTGGTTCATCGTTAGCTTCGAGTATGTCATTGCCGCCATTGGCCTTTACGCTGTGTTGGTCGAAGGCAAGCTGTCTTGCCTCAAGGGCTCTGTGATGGGCCTTTTTGTCATTGGCACCCTGCTCTTCATTTACACCTCCAGTAAGTATGTCGACGAATCCATGGACAAACGTGGACACTGCATTTCCCTTGCTGAACTTTTGTTTTCTGTTACTGCTGTTTCTGTAGACTCTTTCCTGAACATCCTTGAAGTGAATCTCTTCCAGTCCGAGACCCTCCGCGACCGCTCCAAGACTGCCGTGGCGGGTGCAATCATTACAGCCACGCTCAATGCCCTGACGGTCTTTGCTGCTGGTTACCAAGAGTAAATTTTCGGCTGATTAAACTCGTCGCCACCATTTTTGTTTGACTGTTAGTTAACTGCGGTACATCCGGGATTGTTACTGAAGCAGCTTGTGCTTTTGAAAGGTATAATGATATTTGATGTGCTTCTTATGCAAGACAGCGTTCTGGAAGCAGCGTTCCTATTGCGCGTTCCTGAGACTAGGCATGGTGACCGGTTCATAAATGACGAATAGGACTGGGCGTAATAAGGGGGTGCACCTAAGATTCCTTGCTCATGATCTCCAATGTAGTGACGCATACACTCTTGCTTTCTGGCGAGCTGTTTGTTTGATAAATAGCGCCCCAATTTGGACTTTCAACCGAACCCCCATGCGGGTAGGCATCCAATACTTTTCCTGTGCATATACATCGTGTAAGCCACCATGTTGGTGAATTTCAGTTGCCCTATGCTGTCGATATAAGCTGCGGAACAACTCAGTTTCATCCGTTGTCGGGGTTTGCGGCATGTGCAAGATTTGCTATGTAATCAAGTCGCGCCGCTGCTCGGCTCTTTGACCGAAAGCGATCAAGATAGCACAAGGCGAAGATAACTTTCGGAACACCGGAGAAGTTCAACGTCTTCTAATCTCTAATTCCCAAGCTCCGGCAGAAAAATAACATCTAGCAACGTCCAGACACACGTGTCGTCCACCCCATGACTTTCAGCCCTCCTTATCATCATTATTAACTTTGTACTAAAATAGCACATACTGATCTCGTCCAACGAACTTGCCTGGCGTCCAACAACCCGACGGCATTGCGGGATGGCCTGAACCCGAGAGGTCTAAAATGAGCATAAACCCTACAGTCATAACGGTCCGTCCTGGGCAAGCGCCGCACGGGCAGCGGGCGGCAGCAACGAGCCCGGCTGCTGATCCGAAGACCTAAGGACCGGCAGCAATTCCCGGACCTTCTTCTGCAGCGTCTGATCTTCCCCACTTGCGGACAAGGACTGACGCGCCTCGTCGAGTTTCTTCTTCAGCCAAACCATCTTGGTGAAGTTCAGGGGTTTGTACAGCCGGACGGGCACTGCAGGCTGCCTTGCCGCCGCCATTTTAAGGACAGACATGTTCTTCATGGCGATACCCAGGTTCTTTTTCCGAGTACGTATTTGGCATGGCGATAGGGGACGCAGCTCTCCAGTTGGGTTCCATGCCTTTCCGCCGCTGGTCTGCAGGCGCGTAGGAGAGCAGGTTCAGCGGAAGTTGGGAAGGAAGTTTGTAAAGGTTGAGCCGGGATCAATAATGGGGAGCCCTATGGGATAAGTGCCAAGGCCAAGCGCCAAGACAAGAAAAGCGTTACTAACAGGGAGCCCGCAGAGCGAGAGCTCATTGACACGCGCATAGCATAAGGCCCCGGAGGTTCCTGAAGCCTGCGGTGGACCCGGCCCTTGTCCCGGCGAGGCAGACTAATGCGCTGCTTGATTTGCTTACTTTGTATACGACGAAGAGGCAACGGGAAAAAAACATGAGTAAGAGATACGGCGTAAGGACTCCTCCTCGTTGTTTATATTTCGCGTTCTCTCTGCATACGCTTTGTACCAAGAGCAGAAGCTACCTTAGGAAGAACGATCAAAAGTTGTCAGAGTGATGATGGTGCCTTTGGTTACAGCGAAATTGATGCACTTTACCAGGGGTGTCTAACGCGAGCACTGAAATGAAGGCAGTCAATAAAATTATTTAAATCCTTCTAACCTGCACAAAAGTTAGTGAAACATTCCTACGGCTAAGCTGTTGGACATCGGAAGGCTGTACGACACGTACCGGTCAGGCTTATTTGGCTAAAACTCTACATATGGGCAATCTATGCTAACGTGTGCGCGCAATTTGACTTTCATGGCTGCCAGCAATTTTAAACGGCCCCCGATGGGCTTAACAGCCACACATCGAGCCGGCGTCCGACAGCGAGGACTCAGAGGTGCGCGATCCTGCGGCTTGCGTTCCGTTCAACTTATAGCTCTAGCATGCGCTCACTGCAGGAGGTTAGCAGGCAAAGTTTACCTTTTTAGCTTCTGGCAACGACCTCAGCCCCGCTTCAAGCTTTCCCTACGCGCCCTCCCTCCATTTACATGTTTAAACCACTTTCCCTCAGTCCACGCCGCCAAGAAGGCATCTTCACCGTGGTCCTCTGGCGGACCCAAACGTGGTGGCGGCAAGAGCGATGGCAACGGCGGCAGCGCAGGGAACGGCAGCAGCGGTGTCGGTGGGAAAAGGCCCGGCAGTGGCAGCGGCAGCGGCAGCGGCACAGGCTCTTCAACCACAGGCAGCGACAACCCATGGAAGGACAAGGACACGCCCGTACGGCAAGGAAAGCCCGCCAGGCCCTCAAGGAGTGCCGGTGGCAGTTTCGGAGCGGGCGGCACAACCGGCCTTGCGGGTGTTGGGTCAGCCGCCGGCGCGGGCCGGCTAGCTTCTCGCCTGGCGGCGGCGGCGCCGCCACCTCCCCCTTCGGAGACCACCATTACAGATCCCATTAACGTGACGCTGCTGGTGAGTGGGTTGGGGCCTGCCGGGAAGTGCTTCAACCGACCCACGGGTCATACCATCCATGCCGGAGTTGCACGTTTGGGGAATTGGCGCATTTTGATCTACACGCGGGCCGGCCAGCAACTAGGCCGCCACCTCGCACTGCTTCGTACTTTTGGGTCGTACAGGAACTCAGAGGGCCTTGGCTTAGCAATCCCGCCCCGCTACTGCTGCTACTGCTGCTGCTGTCGCTGCTGCTGCTGCTGCTGCTACTGCACTCATCTTGCCCTGATTTCCGCTCCTGCACCCCGAACCCCAGGACGAACTCAGCCCACCGGAGGCGGCTCCGGAACCCAGGTGACGCGCGGGGGGGCCCCCGGGGTGGGCTCCGGCCTTTCTGTTTAAAATTACCTGATCGCGCATATTAGGCGTTCCAACTTAGGGTTCCAGAAGGGGTAATCCAGACGGGGGTTTTGAAAACCAGGTTCAATGTGCGGTATAACTTCGATGATGTCGAAGAATGATGTTTGTGTGTTGGCTGGCTGGCGGCTTGGAAGCGCGGAGGAGTTGTGGGATCGTCGTACAAACAAAACACACACGCACGGCATGGCGGACATGTGGCATGGCGTGGTGGGCATCGTGCCTAACGGACGTATGTATGCATGTATGTGCGTGTGTTTGTGTCGTGTGATGTACCGCAGGTGGAGCACCTTTTGCTCCCATCTGGAGGGGCAGTGGGTGGGCCAGTACGGGGCATACACACCGTGGGAAGGTGAGGGGCCGCAGCCTCAATTTCCCTTCAGAGTGCAGCGCACACATTCTACCGCCCGTCCTCTCTCCCCCCTTTCCTTCTCCGTTTCGCCAAAGCGTGTGTACATACATACATACATACATACATACATACATACATACATACATACATACATACATACATACATACATACATACATACATACATACATACATACATACATACATACATGTGTAGGCGGCTGGCAGAGGTTAAGGCCTGACTTCTGCTCCCGGCCGACCCGGGTTCAAATCCGCCTGCCGGCTCCTTGGGTGTTTGAGGAGTGTTGAAATGGGAGGTGGCCCCCCATCATAAGGACGATGTAGGACGTGATAAAATCAACTTGCGAGCTAACCAGGAACTATGTAGATGCGCCGTTGATCCGCTAGATTTGGTTGGATGCTGGTGGTGAGTTGCCGAACCCAACGAATACATTCTGAGGTTGATGGGGTGAACGGATTAGGGTGCCCCTCTCGCAGGGGAGAGCAGGGAACTGCCTCGGGAAAGTGGGCCGCTGGTGAAGCTATACCACCCTGTAACAACATACATACATACATGTGTAGGGCGCGTCGTGGGTTGGCGGTGGACTGCTCAGCAGCATATCCTTCAGCCCCTCCGCCAACACCCAACTGCCCGGAGGCCAAGCAGACAGTGTGTCCGTTTTGACGATCTACGTGCCTATTTATTCGCCTGCCTAATTAAGCTCTCACCTGTCTATCTAGGCATCCCTAGTTTTGTCTGGTTACCATCGCACTTCACCGCACTTGCCTAAACAGGCAAACCCGAGCCAGCATGGATGGACGAGCGAGGAAAGTACATCACTCTGGTTTACACTCGGGCTCTGGAGCAGCGCGTCAAATATCCTGTCGTACAGGATGTGAATGGGGATGGGGAGCATGTGCCGGCGGGGAAGGCAGCAGCAGGAGCAGGAGCAGGCCATGATGAAAAAGCCGCTGCTGCGAGGGTGACATCCCTGGAGGCGGAGAAGGACTTTGCCGGCGCTCTGGCTCACGAAGCCGACCTGCTCGTCCGCAAAATCGGCCGGTAAGAAGGAAACCTGAAAATATAATGACATCTTCTTGGCACTTTTTAAATAAAAAATTTGAATTCAAAGTTTATAACTCAAAAACTTATATTTTAATTTTGGAATTTGGAATTTGTAGATGCACCAAACTGGCAGCCCTGTCGGACTTGCGGCTGCGGCCCCCGGCAGCGGCTGCCGCTGCGGCAACCCCAGTCGACGCCGGCGCCACGGATGGAGAGCCGTCAGCGTCGGGGGCTGGGATGGTGTACGACATCTTGGACGAAGAGGAGGAGGAGGATGTGGACGTAGAAGCTTTGACGTTCAATTCCGACGGTGTCGTGGTGTTCGATGGCGGCAACTATTCCGCGGGCCCCGAGTATATCGGTGGGTGACACCTGCTCCCCCTGATGGGCCCTACCTCGTACTCATACCTGACAGCTTTTGTTCTGGGCTTTTCGATCGCCTCCCGCCATCACGGGAGGAGTTCAAATTCAAAATTCAAAATGTTCTTCTCGATGCACTGTAAGACGGAAGAACATTTGACACGATGTCCCATCATTTTATGTATCCCTTAGAAATACAAAAAATGGGTTTCTGTTATTGTTTTAGGGTTTTTAGGAATTCTGTTTCTTCAGGTCATTGGGGTCGTACTCTCGTACGGCCCATGTACTACACGTACTATTAAGCTAATTCCCTAAACCCTAAGTTAATTCTGTCTTTTTCCGTTTTTGTCCCCTCCCCACCCCTACAGGTCAGCAACCCATAAAGCTGGTGAACAGTGATACGATAATGGGCCTAAGTGAAGACGATCAGGCGGATGATGATGTAGCGGCGGCGGCCGCGCGGGCTCGCAGCGGCGCCGCCGCCAGCACATCTGCGTCGCTGGGCGGGGCCGCGAAGGCAAAAAGCGCGGCGGCGGCGGCGGCGGCGGCAAGCCGCGGTGCAGCCGCGACATACGGGATGAACAACAATAGTGGCGGTGATGATGATGGTGATGATGATGAGGACGACGACGCGGATGGGGATGAGGAAGGTGGGTTGTGTGCGATGTGAAATGAAGTGAAATGTGTGTATCTGGGGGGGAGGAGGTTTAAGAGGGACGCGGGCGGGATGCTGGACTAGGCAGGGGAAACAGCGCTGGAGAGCAGTAAAGGCAGACGGATTGCGTTACAAGATTGGTGCCCAGGGCCCCTTGGCCCGACAGCTGTTTCACCTGCACCGTGTTGTTTACGTACCCATCCTCCTTGACCGCCTCTTCTTGTGTGTGTGCGTGTGTGTGTCCGTATGTATGTGTATGTGTGTGTGTGTTTTACAGATTGCTGGGTTCCGTTACCTGCCTGTTCGCGGCTCTGGCTCCCGTGTGGCGGCAGTGCCAACCCTGCCTCTTCCCGCCCACCCTCCTCTTCCCCCACACATGCCGACCGCTGCCGCTGCCGCCTGCAATCAACTTTTTGAATATCCGCTGCTGAAAAATAAACTGAAATTGGAATACTTAGGTTCCAACAACAACACAACATCTTTATAGCTAGCTGGTCCAGCTGCTATTATAATTATTATTCAAACAAAACTTTTGCCGGGGCTGCTGGTTTGATGTCAAATTTGGCGGGAGATATCTGTCCCTTCCCGCTCCTGATCCCGAACACCCAAAGCCCGTTCTCCCACACCACCCAAAAAAAGAGTATTTCCTCCTTCCCCATTCCCCCCAAAAATATCCCCTCAGATTCTTCTGACGCCACGCTGCTGCCCACGTCTACCAGCGTGTTCGAGCAGTGTCTGGTGGACTGGGGCAGCCGCAGTCGTATGCGCCTCAAGTTGACGCTGAGGATTGGACAGCTCGAGAACGGCGAAGTGGACGTGGAGGTAGTGTGCGCGCGGAGTATATATTCCTTTTTTATTTATTCATATTATGTGTTTGCGATTCTTTTTCTATAAAAATAAAACCTTGTGTATCTTTTTCCTTTTTGTGCAGTTATAAAAGTCAGGCATGTGTTTTCCTCCCCGTCCTGCCTTCCCCCCGCCCCCCCTCCAGCAGGAGCTTCACTCTTCGTGGTTCGTCTTCCCCCCCCCTTCCCTTGCATTTCCCCCCAATCTGTATCCATCCATGTCTATACCCAACCCGGGCTGCTCCCCAGATTGCCTTCCCCACCTCACTCATACTAATCCTTCCCCCCTCCAAACCCTGGACTGTCCGTATCCGTATCCTCCCTGGACTATCGCAGTCGCCAGTGGTTCGTCATTTATTGATTCCCCCATCCTCGCCCCCCTGCCCCAGGTCCTCCGCATACTGTTATTCACGGAGGAGTGGGTGGGTCCTGCAAGCGCGGTCTCCCCGCCCAGCCAGGTTAAGATTCTAGAGAAACCCTGTACGGCACTGCCCCGGCCCACACCCGTACAGCTCCAGGTGTGAAAGGGATGGGGGGGGATAGGGGGAGCGGTAAGGGGGGGTGAGTGGGAGGGGGGAAGGCGACAGGATTCTGGGCTGGGGTTTGGAAAGGAGGATCTGTGACACGTCCGCGGTGTTTGTGCCGGAAACTCCGTTTGTTTGCATTTTCTCCGCTCTCAACCCACTCTGTGTCCTATCCAGTCTTGCGTGTTTTGCTTCTTGCGCTTCCTGCCCTCTGTTGGACTTTATCCTTCTCCCACATCACGACTCCTCCTCCTCCCCCCTGCCGCCTCCCCCAACCAGCAGCTTCACTCGTTTGCGGTTCGTCTTTCCCCCCCCCAACCGCTCCCTCCTGCTGCTCTGTAGGGCTCTTGGAACGTCTTCACGACGTGTGCCACAAGTGTGGATGAGGTGGACCCCCGCTCGGGTGCGTGTGTAGATGTGCTGTGTGTGTATGTATGTATGTGTGTATGTGTGTCGTCCGGGACAAACCTCTAAACTCGGTCTCTTGCTCACCGCTGCCACTAAGTACACCACGCCGGCTTCTGTTTGTCCGAATTTTTCTCTTTGTTTTGCTCATCTGTCTGTCTGTCTGTCCGTCGGGACAGACGTGCTTATCCCGGTGTGTGTTTTCCCCTCCCATGTCTTTTGCCATTGATTCTCTCACCCCGTTGATTCGCATTTGGGTTGGGTCTTGTACGGGTGTACGGAAGGGTTTCATCCTCCTAGAACTCCCCACCAAATATTATCATTAAGGAGGCTTTGCCACTCCCCACCCCCTGCCCAACGATTTCAAACGTCCCCACAGGCGAGGAGCAAGTGGTGTGGGTATACAGCAGTACGGAAGAACAGCAGCTGTGGGATACCTCTGCCCTACCCCCGTCCGGAGATGACGGCGGCTGCTTCTGGCTACCAGGGGGTGTCGTACTCAGCCTGCGCATGGTGGATAATTACGTGCCTGTGGATCTGGATTTGGATTCCGAATCCGGGGGATCTGGATCTGAGTCGGATCGCGGCGGCGGCGGAGCGAGCACCAACGGTAACGGTAACGGAAATGGATTGGAGAGCTCGCGGACATACCCTCGGGGACTGTGTTTGGGGATGGCGTGGCTTTGGCGGGAGGGCAGCGTGTCGGTTTTGGAGCGCGAGTACGACGGGTACGGTTATCTGCGGGAGGTACGACTATCGCAAGGGGTCAAGGGGGGCTGGGCCGGGGGCCGGATGTGATATCGTACACACACACACGCACGGCATCCCACGCGACGTCACACTACACCCACGTCTAAACTAGGACAGGGGACAAAACACACACGCGCGCGCGGATTCACACACGTCTAAGTGGACGTCACTCCCGCGGTTTGGCGGGCGCTATGGGTGAATATATTCGTGCTTATTGTTACTTCTCGAGCGTGTCTTCTCTACGGAGGGTTGAGTTGAGTCGCGGGAAAGTGGAAAGGAAGTGGTGGAAAGAATGTGAACCACATTCCTCATTCTGGTGTATGTATGTATGTATGTATGTACATACGTATGTATGTGTGTACGTATGTGTACGTATGTATTACGGCATGTCACTACATATAATTTCAAGTCCTTGACAGTCAGTTGTAAGAAGGCCCCTCCGTACTACTGGAAATGAACGGTGAGGAGGTGAAAGCGCCCGCAGGCCCCCCTGTACGTCAAAACACGTCTCGTTTTCGCCTAGTTGCATGTACCATGGATTTGAGGCCCCGACTACTGCGGGTAGAAGCAAGAGTAGAACTGAAGGTTACATTGCTGTTAATGTTGTGAGCCCACCCCATGCCCTCCAACACTTCCGGTACACTATAAATTATGTGTAATTTAGCATAGCCCACTAACAATCCATCTAGGTTGTTAAGCCAATTGCACGCTGTGACCATTCGTTTGTTCGGTTGGTGGGTTGGTTGGTTGGTTACGTCGTTGTCGTCGGTTGTTTGTCGTTGCCGGTTGATCGTTCCACCTAACACGATCGCCAAAGATCGCCGTGTCATGGTTGTATCATCTGCTCTCCTTCTTACCCTCATGCGCACCGTTGCAACCAACGATAATACGAAACTTTTTATCGGCGGATCTCTCGTCAATATCGAGATAACACAACGACGGGACACACATAGAGGGGTATGTGGATGCAGAGAGAGGGTGGTGAGTGCAACCTCTGGGGTTGGGGTTGGGGGTAGGGAAGGGATGGCGCGGCGGCGGAAAACACACCACCACGTGACGACACGTGACAGCGAACGTCCTCTAATCTCATCACCCCTTGCGGTGAGCCTTACGGGTGACATGACCACCGGCGGGGACCCCCGAGGGGGAGGAAAACACTAATGCGGGGGGATGGGGTCATGTTCCCCCATAATATTCCCATCTCGATCAGACCAACAACAGGCGGGAAACCAGGCGGCGGAAATACACGTCCTGTTTTGTCACTCCTCCTATCCATCGCGAGGTCGTCGCCTCAGGCTCCGCCACACCGCCATCAAACCCCATAGCCTGTCGCCACAGCCGCACCACCCCAACGAGCTGCCGCTGCTGCTGCTGCTGCTGCTGCCAACACCGCCGGCACCGCCCGACACGCTGTAGCTTACCTCCCCAACCGTCCGCAAGCCGTCCGCTAGCCTTATCGCAACCCCCCTGGACCCCGACAAACCAACCTGGACCTCCACGCCACCTGCTCCACTTCTTATCTTCCCCCCCCACACACAACCACCTTCCTCCCTATCTACCCATCTACCCTAGGACGGTCAAACTTGAGCGCCTGCACCTGAGTCGTCAATTGTCTGAGCCACTGAGGCCGCTTATCAACTCTGGACTCCTCGAACTCTAGTTTAATTAGGTTGGGCGGGTGGAGGAGAGGGAACGAGTTTGGGATGGGGCTTGGTTAGGCGCAGGGAGCGGGTTGGCGGCGCAGGAAGGAAAGAGGCAACCGAAAGGCGACCGAAAAAGGGTCGAGGAGGAGGGAGGAGGGAAAAGTAAGAGAAAAGGGACCTTGCCTTGCCCTGCCCTGCCCTGCACCACAACCCGGCCAAACCCATTTCGGTTCACTTCATGCCATCCTCCCCCAGGAGTTTTTATACGCCCCAATCAGCCCATCAGCTCTCTCTTTGTCACGATTCAAATTCAAATTGAAATGTTTTTTCAAACAGCCCACCTGGATCGATGACGATGTAGTTGGAGCCCCAGGCAGCTCCATAGCCCCAGCCCAGACCAACACCCACACCGCAACCGCCTCCTGCGGGAAATTGAATAAGTTGATGAGGATAGAGAGGATGAGAACTTGGATGGTAAAGGTGACGAGGGATTGGATGGTATGGGGAGGGAAGGAGTGGCGAGAGTTCTGTCGTAGATCAGCCAGGCGGAGCGTGTTGGGTGGAGGGTTGATGTGGGTTTTTGGTTGAATGCGATGTGTGTGAGCAGCGCATGATGATGCAATTCGCATCGGTGCACATGAGGAAGGATTTGTCTGACTGGGAGAGGCGGGCGGACTGGAGGGATAGAGATGGAGCAGCTACGTAAGGGATCTAAGGAAAGGGCAGGTCTGCGTGTTGAAGAGTGGCGAGGGCGCACGGCTAGCGACAAGCGCGCGAGCGTGCTTACCTGCTCCAAGGCCACCAATTCCAGTAGGACCGCCGCCGAAACCGTAACCTATCCCGAAGCCACAGCCTGCACCAAAGCCTTTAAGGAGGCGATTGGAAGGGCATGGGTACAGAGCGGTTATGCTCAGCCGTATAGGTGGCATGCGGTGATAAAAGTGAGGAATTTGAAACCTCTTTATGGCTTGCAAAATTGTCTTACCGAATCCTACACCACCGCCAACGAAGCCTCTCCCGCCCATCTTTGTTCGATCAGCTTCAATGAAGAGCGCACTTTTAGCTACAGTGGCTTAATATTCCGTCGCGTCTTCAGTAACAGGATTGACTGCAAAACCCAAATGTATTCTGTCCATGTTGTACAACGTCCGGAAAACTTCTTATTACAACAGAAGTAACTTATCGGATAAAATTGAGCAGTTAAGCTGGTAATTGTAATTTTATTGGACTTACAGCCAATAACAAATTTCGAAACATGCCACCGGACGAGGCGCCGGCACCTGAGGTGCCTCCGTCCTCGCGCCTTTGCGTTAAGAACATTCCAAAGTATGTCGACGAGGCACGCTTAAAAGAATTTTTCAGCGCAAAAGGGGAGGTGACCGACGTCAAGGTCCTACGCACGAAGTGAGTCCTCCTGTCGGCGGCGTAGCGTCAACACACAGCTTGCTGCTTGGGTGTACGCGAAACCATCGCGCTTAGCGTCGAGACGTCTTGACACATCGTGCTATCTGAATCGTTGCCGGTGCACAGGGATGGACGCTCGCGCCAGCTGGGGTTCATCGGCTTCAAGTCTGTGGATGAAGCCGCGGCGGCCCTGCGCTATTATAACAGGTCATACATGGACACTGCAAAGCTCGCGGTGGAGGTAAGGCAGCGCGGGTGTCTCCCCGGGTTACTTCCCGCTCTCATGGTTACAAAAGTAACTCCTTTTGAACACGCGCCCGGCGAGGCACCCATGGCAGGACGGCACAGGACAGAGGATGGTTCGGTGGCCGATAACATAAACCATTTGGGTCGTCTCCCTGACGTGCGCTGCTGTTTCGATTCTATCGCTTGGTGCAGTTTGCCCGCAAGGTTGGTGATGAACAGCTACCCCGAGCCTGGAGCAAACACACCTCCGGAACCACCGCGAACCGCAAACTGACGACGCCGGCCGGCGCCGCCCGACCTGGCGCAGCTAATGGCAAAGCTGAAGACGGTGGTGGTGGTGGTGCTGCTGCTGTTGCTGCTGCTGCTGGGGGGCATCTGGGTGCCGAAAACGGCAGGAAAGGCGAGCTGCTGCCTGAGGAAGGTGCGTGCCCGTATTTTCCTGGCTGGGGTTGTGGTTGTGGCTATGAAGGCGTACCAGGGGGCAGAAGCAGCAGCAGCAGCAACAGCAGGAGCAACAGCAGCGGTAGAGCTTCAGCTTTGTAGCGCCGCCGGCGGGCGGGTGGGAGAGAGCACACAGAGCGTGGAAAGAGCACACACGGTGTGTATGGTCGTGTAGGTTGATTGACGTTGCCGCCTGTACAATACAACCCCTCCCTCTGCACCCCGTCGGCAGTTGGATTTGTTGATATTTGGTTCCCCCCCGTATTTCCCCCCTTCCCCCCTTCGCGCACACAGATGTACACACGTAATTTTCCAGCTGGTGTAGGGCTCCTACCTCCATATCGCCCCCCCCCCTCCCTGATGCCACTTTGGCCACTTCATTCCTCATTTCCTTGCGTTTGATGCCACCATCCTCCGCCACTCTCCTCCGGGGGGAATAGGCGACTGGCAGCATGATGGCCCGCCGGGGCCTGCTGATGGTGGTGGCGGTGGCGGTGGCTCTTGCTGCGGGTCTGTCCCACCTTGCGCTGTCTCACTGTTCCCCCAGAGGGGCCCCCACTCCAACCTCCCTGAGGTCCTCTTAACACCTTGACCCACTCGCTTCAGCTTCCTCCGCTGTCTCGCCCAACATCATTGTAAAAATAAAATCAAAATTAATATAAATATTCGATTAATATCATCATTAAAATATATTAAAATGGTTGGTCCTTCAGGTTGATCTTCCCTTCCAGGCTTCCAGCTTTGTATCTCTTAATAAACGATTTTTGAAGCCTAAAAATCGTTTTTTTAAAATCCAATTTAAAAAAAACTCTAAAACCCTGACAGAGGATCCCAAGCTCCGAGAGTTCCTGGCGCTGATGCAGCCTCGGTCGAAAGCGCGAATTTGGGCTAACGACGAGATGCCCGAGGAGCGGCAGACGGCCGCCGCTGCGGACCAGCCAAAGCTCAAGCGGGCCCCCGCCGCGGCCGCTGATGTCAGCAAGCTCTTTGATCAGGGCGACGGCGACGCGGGGGAGGAGGAGGACCAGTATCAGGATTGGACGGATGCGGTGGCGGGCGTGCGGCGCGGCGGCGGCGGCGGCGGCGTTCGCAGCGACGACGACGAAGAGAAGGATGCGAAGATGGCATCAGGCAGCGAAGACGACGATGATGATGATGGGGGAGAGGATGGGGACGCGGTTGGGGCTGGTTGGAGGGGGCGGGTGGGTCGGGGGCTGGACGAGCTGGTGGTCAACGAGGCGGTATCTGACCTGGATTACCTCAGATCGAGGATGCGTCGTTGGGATGAGAGTGAGGATGACGGTAGCGACGACGGTGAAGATGGTAATGGCAAGGCGGCGGAAGCGGCGGCGCGGGGTGACCAGACTGGCGTCGGCACTTCGCCGCGATGCGGAGCAGCAGCAGCAGCAGCAGCAGCCGCCGCCGCCAAGAAGGTTGGCAAGAAGTGCGCTGCCGCGACGCCGACGGGGAAGCACGTCCGCAGCCGCGTGGGTGAGAAGAATGGCGATGGCGGCAGCGATGATGACGGTCGGGGCGTTCGTGACGTTGGCGGCGACGTTGACATGGCCGCGGCAGCAGTGCCGCTGCCGCCGCCGCCGCTGCCGCTGCCGCCGCCGCAGTCTGACGCGGAGGCGGATGAGGAGGATCTACTGGAGACGGATCGGCTGTTTGTTCGAAATCTGGCTTACACCGCCACAGAGGCGGATCTTAGCGACCTGTTTGGGTCGTTTGGAGACCTACAGGCCGTGCATCTTGTAGTTGATAGGTGGGTGGGTTGGGAAGGCGGTGGGATGGGATGGGATGATGGGCTGGACTCGGTGTATGCTCGGAGGGAGGGATGTGGTGGATGTGTTTTGCGGGGATGGGAAGAGACTGATGGTAAGAGACTGGTGGGGGCACGTGTGCACATGCGGATGGGGCAGAGGGAGAGGTAACATCCTGCACCCGTCGCCGTCTCCGCTTACGCTCACCTCTCGAGTTACCGTGACGCTTTGTGCCGTACACGGCGTCTGATGCAGAGAAACCAAGCGATCCAAAGGGCTGGCGTACGTGCAGTACCAGATTCCGGAGGATGCCGTACGTGCCGCGAAGCAGCTGGACGGTACCATCTACCAGGGACGGCTGCTGCACATCTTGCCCGCCAAAAGACCGCCAGGCAGCGGCCAGGCAGCGGCGGCGGAAGAGGCGGCGGAAGGGGCGGCCGCCGCC